CCCCTGCTTGTGTCCCTGCTCTCACTATGTCTCTCTCTGTCAAATAAATAAATAAAATCTTAAAATAAATAAATAAATAAATAAAATAAAATCTGAAAGGCCTCTCCCTGAAGTCTTAGGTCCTAGAGGTGTAATGGCTAGTAACATTTGTACACATTTAGATAAACTATTTTTTGTGCCCTCCAACTTTTATCTGTGTGTGGTCAATACATGTTCACACAGCAATGGGCATAGATACCGTCTCTTACCATCATGCATGCATAATGTCTTTAGAAAGTTGTTTTTTTTTTTTTTTTACAAAAAATGTGGTCATGTTATGTATATTGTAGAATTATACCCTTTAATATAGGTGAACCTCTTTCCAGTCGTTGGAATACGGTGTAACACTCCAAGCATCATATTCTAATGTGCCAAATGAGTTTTTAAAGAAAAGGTCAGTGGACAAGGTGAATTTTCGGTGACTGTTGGTTGGCCCTGTCGTGTGACCATCAGCCACCCTTCCTGGTTTTCACGTCAGACTGCCCACAGGTTGTTTCTGACTGACAGACAGACACTACATTCTGTTGTAATTTTGTTTTTCCTTGCACAATCCTTAACAGATACTCCAAACCCTTTCCAAATTGTGCTTTTTCTTTCTGGCTCTACACCTATCAAATTTCACATAGGTAAAAGACTGTTAAGTCTTTCTTTTTCTGAAAACAAATAGTCCACTCTTTTTTTTCTTTCACCCATATTCACCAAGTCTGTTTCTCAGAATCCTTATGAGTTATTTTTTGGTTATTGTTGTCTGAATACTCTCTTAAATAGTCCCCATCTTTCTTTGGATCCACAAAGCTGTTCCTGTAGAAGAATGAAGCCTGAATTTTAAGTACATTCTGGTTAGCAACTATTTTGATGAACGCTAGTCGCAGAGACCTTGGATTCACTGTGTGACCTTGGATTCACTGTGTGACCTTGGGGTTTTTTTCATCAATAAGATGTGTAGCTTGTACTAATTGATCATTGGTTTGTTTTCCTTCTAAAATTCTGGCTCTATCTCCAAATACAATAAATAAGAAGGTAAGTAGTAGAATGTTAAATCAACATAGTCTGGGAAGTCGACTCCCTTCATGCGAAGACGAGAACGTTGCATGACAGGTGTGTACTTGGCTGAGCTTTCCAGAATTGAGAGCTGCAGAGTTGTCTTCACCAGAGACTTCACTAAGATGCTGCTGGAAAGATGCTCGGCTTGGCCCCTTGCCTGCCGCTTTGTTCAGGGTGATTTCCATACTCCAGTCCACTCAGTGTTCATTTCCTCACACTCCTCTGTCTGTGTTTCATGATGAGGAGCTGGAGTGGGGGAGTTTCAGAGCAAGAGCACAGAATCATGAAGATAATCATAGGAAATTTAATTCTGTTCACAGTCTCCCAAGCCAGAGCAAGGAGCAATCAGACGTTCTTTTTTTGTGATGTGCTGATTAGCCTACGGCGGCGGGAGTTCTGAGTGGTCCTCCAGAACCACGAAGGAAGCAGGTGCTAGGTGCGGATTCACTCCCAAGCACCGTGATGCCGGACAGGATGCTTCTTTCAGTGTCCGCCCTGATTAAAGAAGGGAGTTGCACTCAGTCCCTCCTTCCTTGCTAGTGTAAGAGCTAGTATTCCGGGTCTTTAAAACAGCACAGGTGCTTTTCAGGTTGGGATCAGACTAAACCACCTCCAAAGTGGATCTCTACACAATGGAAGGGTAAAAACGGAAATTGCACAGATTGCTCGGTCCGTGATTCTCGTTGCTCTTCCCTTGCTCCCACTTGCCCCAGGACTACGTGGTGACGGTGACAGAGGAGCTCCTGGAGTTCCTGTCCGACGGAGCCCTGGCCATTGAGGTGTGGGGCCACCGCTGTGCTGGGAACGGCCGCTCTGTCTGGGAAGTCGACTCCCTTCATGCGAAGACGAGAACGTTGCATGACAGGTGTGTACTTGGCTGAGCTGATGCAGGCTCAAGACTGGCACCAGGCCAGAGGGTAAGAGTAGGGGTCCCCGGGCCTGCCTCCTCCTTGGTGAAATGGGAACAATAAAAGGAACTAGCAGGCATCGAGGACGTTGGATGGGGGAAGGAAAGCCTTTTCAACAAACAGTACTGAAACAACCACGTATCTGCTGGGTCAAAACCAACCTGGATTTTGGCTTCACACGATACACAAAATTTATTTTGGGATGGATCGGAACCTTTCATGGGAAAGATAAAACTGTATAGCTTATTAAAAAAAAAAAAAACAGGATATTTTCCTTTTTTTTTTTTCCTTTTTGGAAGCTTTTATAAAAGTCTGTATAGAGCAGTATTTAGACTCTGGATTCGGCTGCCAAGGAGCCCCTGTTGTGCTGTGGGAACTGGCCAGGGCATGGCAGGCTGCTCCAGCTTCCCACGTTCTACAGTGGAGGTGCTGGGCAGTATCTCACCTTCGGGGTCCCCAGTGCTCACATGGTGAGGCACAGACCTCTTAGGGCCTGTCTCATCACTGTCCCAGGGAAGCACAGTCTTCACTCTGATGCCCAGCACATCCTGTCTGAGCAGCAGTTAACAGGGTCCCCGCTGGTGATCATCACGCCAGCCACAAACTTGCTGGATTTGGCCCTCTGCCCTCAGAGTTTCCTGGACACCAGGACCTCACGGTTCTTTGGCCCCACTCTCCATGATGAACCACTGCACGGCATGGCAGACCCACCACACAGCAAGGTATCCTAGGAGCTGGTCACGCAGAGACTTGGCCTGGGTGATAGCACACGGACCTCCCATGGCCACCTTTTTAGCATAAAGCTCTCCACTGCCCTCAGGGAAGCCAAACCTCTGCTGAACCACTGCAGTCAGTTCTCAGGTCCACCAGCCCTTTTCCCCAAAAACTTTGCGCATCCTGGTAGCCGAGATCATGATTTCTGTCCCGGTTCCTATAACTCGTACCTCAGCTCCAGAGTAGCCATCCTCAGCCAGCTCCTCAGTGAGAAACTCATTCACTTGAGCTTTGAAGATGCCATCGGCCACAAGCTTCCTCTTCTTGGAAATTTGCCCCGTCATCTTGCGCAGGAGGATATCTTCTTGGAAATTTGATCCTTTGCCTTTTCTCTGACCTAGCAATCTACTCCTGGGTATTTCCCCAAGAAAAATGAAAATGTAAGTCTGTAAACAGACTTGTTCACAAATGTTCATGGCTGTTCTTTTTATAATATCCCCCAAACTGCCAACAACCCAAATGTGTGAGAATGTTTGATAAACAAATTATACTACTAGTCATGTAACAAATATTACTCAGCTCTGTCAACAAAGAAAAGGACAACAGATACCCATTTGAATGAATCGCAGAAACATTACACTGAACCAAAAAGGCCAGACCTAAAAGAGTATGCACTAATGATTCCCTTCTTATGAATTTCTAGAACAAGCAGAACTAATTTATTTTTTTTTAAAGATTTTATTTATTCATTTATTTGAGAGAGAGAGAGAGCACATGAGAGGGGGGAGGGTCAGAGGGAGAAGCAGGCTCCGGGCCGAGCAGGGAGCCCGATGTGGGACTCGATCCCGGGACTCCAGGATCATGACCTGAGCTGAAGGCAGCCACTTAACCAACTGAGCCACCCAGGCGCCCAATGAAACTTTATTTATTTTTTTTATAAAGATTTTATTTATTATTTGACAGAGAATGAGAGAGAGAGAGAGCACATGAGAGGGGGGAGGGTCAGAGGGAGAAGCAGGCTCCGGGCCGAGCAGGGAGCCCGATGCGGGACTCGATCCTGGGACTCCAGGATCATGACCTGAGCCGAAGGCAGTCGCTTAACCAACTGAGCCACCCAGGCGCCCAAGCAGAACTAATTTATAGTTACGTGGCCGCTGTGGGATGCTGTGGGTATTGAACGGGAAGGGGCGTGAGCAAACTTGCAGAGGCAAATGATGGGGTAGTGACAGAGGTATGTGCATTTTCACAATTCATCAAACTCTACTTGAAAACTGGACATTTCACTGAATATACATTATAGCTCAATAAAATAAAGAGAAAAGCCAAACCATAGGGTTGTTTTGAGAGTTAGATAAGAAAACCTACATGACAGCACGATGTCCAGCCCATAGTAAGGGCTCAGGGGGTGGTGGCTCATTCCTATTGCTCATGATGTCCCTGGGCATTGACGTTGTTGTCCATGGGAACGTGTTTCTGCAGGTGGAATGAGGTAACACGGAGAATAGAGATGTGGCTCTCCATACTGGAATTGAACGAGCTAGGAGAATACACAGCAGTGGAGCTTCACCAGGCAAAGGATGTCAACACGGGAGGCATCTTCCAACTCAGACAGGTACTAGGCTTGGTTTTCTTTGTTTTTGTTTTCTCTTTGTTCCACTCTTACACACCGTTTCTGGGAGTTTTCTAGTTACGGGCTTCTGTATTCCCTGATTCTCTTCTCTTCCTTTATCCTCTTCCCCCATTCCTTGCCCTTCCCATTCCTGGCACCCATTGTCCCCCACCCGCCGCCCTCTGCAGGGTCATTCCCGGAGGGTGCAAGTCACAGTGAAACCCGTGCAGCATTCCGGGACGCTACCACTCATGGTCGAAGCCATCCTGTCTGTCTCCATTGGTTGTGTCACTGCCAGGTCCACCAAGCTGCAGAGAGGGCTGGACAGTTACCAGGTAAGACCAGCACGTTGGAAGTAGTCTGCAGCGAGGACCAGCTAATGCAGAGAAAGGCAGTCAGTGATCTGGGATGGAGACCTTTGGGGAGTATGACCAAACTCCTTGTCCTGACCTTATTATCTATACCCCTCCCTTCACATTTCCATCCATTGCCTTTTTTATGAGGTTTGAAATACTGTACCAGCTTAGTGTTGATTAATAATAATTTTATTTGTAAACACACATATGAATGGTATGTTACTCATTTACTTCAGGCAGATTTCATTTTCTGTCTGGCTCCAGTTAGGTTATGTTGGATATTTGGCATGGTTGCCTGGCCCAATCCACTTTTATTAATATAAAATTGCCCCCATACACTGGCATAATTTTTTTTTAAAAGATTTTATTTATTTATTTGACAGAGACAAAGCGAGAGAGGGAACACAAGCAGGGGGAGAGGGAGAGGTAGAAGCAGGCTTCCCGCTGAGTAGGGAGCCCAATGCGGGGCTCGATCCCAGGACCCCGGGATCATGACCTGAGCCGAAGACAACCGCTTAATGACTGAGCCACCCAGGCGCCCTACACTGGCATAATTTAACAGTTCTTTGAAAGCTTTCTTTTTTTTTTTCCAATTAAAAGTTGTCCTCATGATCATTTTTGTCCATTAAATCCTCCTTTACTAAATCTTCTGTTCTCATTTTAAAATTAAAAGATTGGGGGGCACCTGGATGGCTCAGCTGGAAGAACATGTGAATCTTGATCTTGGGGTCTTGAGTTCCATATTGGGTGCAGACATTATTTTTTAAATAAATAAGTAAATATTTGTAAAAAGTGAAAGGTGAAAACATCAAAGAATTAATCTTCATGTTACCAACCCCAGCTCTTCATCACTCTGTGAGAATGAACTTTGAGATTAGGAACTTGCCTGAAGTGGCCTGAAAGAAGGCATGTGCTTTCGCTCAGTCCCCAGTTTACTGTCAGGTATGAATTAGGGGAGGAATCAGCCCATTGAACTCTGGCTGCTTCACTACCACACGAGAGAGGGAGCACTGCCTGTTGTGACGTTTCTCTGTGGCGCCTGGGCGGAGGCCCAGCCCGTCCTGAAAATGATTCATCTTCAGTCTCAGTTTCCTTGCACTCCCTGGCATTCAGGCAAAGACTTTCTGAAAGCTAGAAGGAACAGTGGCTTGGCCTACGAGGCCTTCGGAAGGCATGGTTTTGTCAAACACCGCCTTCCCTGTCCCAGGCCAAAATTGCCCCTGGTTCTCAGAGCCAGAGAGAGTATGAAGGAAGGCCTGAGGACAGTCTGCTGTTCTGGGGGAGAAGCCTCCCCCAGACTTTTCCTCATATGTGGAGTAGAAGACTGGGTTGTGTGGATTCTCATCCCAGCTCAGTCCCTCACTCAGCCATCAACCTTGGGGGTGGCTGCAGGGCCTGGTAGAAGGGTCGCTGGCCTGGAACCGGGGGGACCTGGATTCTTCAGTCTAGCACGGCCTTCCTGGTTACCTTGTTGGGATAATGCAAACCTCTAGTTCCCCTTCTCTCTTCTCCAGAATGATGAAGGAGACTTAATAATTCCCTGAGATCCCAGTCTATACTAAAATTTTGTGGCTTAGTAAATCTCTCACCTTAGATAAAACTTTGAATTTACATCCTAAATCATGACCTATAAAGCAGGGATCACCAACTGACTACATGTTCCCATTTGAGGAACCTTATAAAGATTGATTATTTGCACTTTTAAAACTGCTCTACCTTCTGAGTTAAAACTCATTTTTGTCAAAATTCGAGCTTTCCCCGGTGCTAAATGCTCTTTAAAGAACATAGTGCCAGTCATGCAGATTTAAGTGGTGACTATTTCAGGATGCCTGGGTGGCTCAGTCATTGAGCGGCCAACTCTTCATCTCAGCTCAGGTCTCGATCTCAGGGTTGTGAGTTCAAGCCCCATGTTGGGCTCACGCTGGGCATGGAGCCTGCTTAAAAAATCAATCAATCAATAAACTGTGGCTAATTTTTTTATAAAGATTTTTAAAATTTTATTTATTTTGGAGAGAGAGGACAGAGGGAGAGGGAGAAAAAGAGAAGTAGACTCCCTGCTGAGCACAGAGCCCGATGTGGGGCTCAGTCCCACGACCCTGAGATCATGACCTGAGCTGAAATTAAGAGTCAGATGCTTAACTGACTGAGCCACCTAGGTGCCTCTAAACTGTGACTGTTTTAAAGCTTTTATTTTTCTTTGCAGCCATGCTCAAAGTCACATCCAGAACTTACTTTGTTGATGTAGTACTTTAGAAATATTCTGATGCAGTAGCTCAAGCCAGTCCAGAATATGCTGATTTCACAAGTTATACATCATGAAAGCTGAGGCTAGTTCTCAGTTAATAGAAGGATCTTCTTAGTCTAAAAAACAGTAATGATAAATTCAAGCTACTGTACTTTATTCAATAATGTGGGGAATTAAGTCAAAAATTACTTCAGGGGATATCTGGCTGGCTCAGTCAGTAGAGCATGGGACCCTTGACCTCAGGGTTGTGAGTTTGAGCCCCACGTTGGATATAGATATTACTTAAAAAATAAAATCTTGAAGAAAAAAGAAAAATTACTTCAGTATTAGGCATACATTTAATAAGTTAGTTACTCAAATGATGGGTTCCAAACTTAAAAAAAAAAGTGGATTTTGAAATCTATGCAGAGAATGTTTAACTGTATTTTTAAAGCACTTTTAAAAAGCAGTATGTATTGAAGTATACTTATATATGAGAGTAATGTAATTATATTTTAAAGCACTTAAAAAGGTTTGTCTTTTTATGACTAGACCACTTCACTGCCTGTTTGAATATTAACCCTCCAATAATAGAAAAAAACCAAAGACGATTATTACAGGGGCCAGGGTTCATTTTGAGTAGAACCTGCCTCCGGGTAGATGGTTATTCCCTACAAATGGGAGTTTCCTTACTCTTCTGTCTAAGGAAACCTGTCTCAACTAAATCCTTTTATTTTCAACATGGTGGTTTTGTTTTGCCAAATGTTTTTGCCAAAATCATTACTTTATACAATTATTATAAACTATTGTAAACTGTATTACCCAACTGATTGGTATGATGCTAACATAACCAGTAATGGGCGATAGCAGATCCAATATTCAGCATGGCAGGCTGTGCTCTTGAGACTGTTGTACGCTGAGGAAGCCTGAGGCTCCCGGTGGGCTTTTGCCTGTGAGGATTTCCTCAGTGCATGTGGTGTGGTGCAGGGGGAAAGGACACTGAGTGGGGTAACTAGCAGCCTGGCACCCAGTCCTGACTCTGCCACCACTTGGGTGATCCTTGGGTTAAAACATTTCATCCTTTGGGGCCCCGTCTGCCTCACGGCTAAACTAAGAGATTGAGAGGTAGTCTAGTTCTACCATTTTGTCCTTCTGAGTCCGCTCCAAATCTCAGATAGCCCACCCAGAAATGCGTATGCGCCATTCGCATGATGACAGGGTAAAGCCTGGCCCAGTGACGTTGATTCCTAGTCCCATCGAAGAGAGTTCTTGTTTTTTTTTTTTAAATGGTTGCTTTCTTTATTAAAAACATAACAAAACAAAACTCAAATTCTTAGAGGCGAGTGAATTAAATCCACTAAACCTTTCTTGCAAATCATTTAAATGTTTTATTATGCTGGGTGTTCCGTGTGCTGTCCATTGTAATGTGTGTGTTACGCTTAAAGAATTACCTGTGTGCTGTTTGAGAAACAAAAATGCATGTCCTTTGTGTTTATTTTTTTCCTCCCAGAGAGATGATGAGGATGGTGATGATATGGATAGTTATCAGGTATCGCTGTTGCTGTCGTTCTGTGGCATGGGGCACGGCTGCTGCTAACGGCTAGCATCCGCAAAGCAGAGGGCAGGGAGGAGGAAGGAGGACCATCGAGCAAGAACACGCAGACTCTCACTCGCTTTGGATTTGCTTTAAACATAATCAGGGATAAAATACTGTTGCTATAGATTTCTCTGTCCATTCAAAACGTATGGTCGGATACTGCATTGCTGCTCTGCTATCTTGAATTAGCTTGTAAAGACTTTCGAAGCAAGACCATTATCACTGTATTAAGTTAATGATTTTTAAAACCGTGGAATTATCCATTCATAATCTTTCAGTTGAACCTTGTGTTTTCTATGCAAAACTGCACTTCGTGCCTCACGTCCAAGAGAGTAGGACTGTTCTAATATGCAGTTTTAGTTTAAAAGTCTCTTGCTGGATAGGAAATTGAAAACATTTCATGCACATAGTTTAGTTTGGGTTAGCCAGCTTCTTTCTGTCATTAGGACCCAGCTTAATTATCCATAACTTGGAGAATTTAAATCTCAGCTTTTTCTTTTTGGAAATTCAGGAAAAAAAAAAAAAGGCACCCGTGAACTCGTCCCTAGTCAGTGCTGGCCAGCCTCCTGTCATGGAATGTGGGACGATAGGAACAGGCAAGGCAGCAAATCAAAGTGAAGTTTTCCGGGTTTGGTTCCCAGTCTTTGTACTCATTCTCCACAGTTTTCCCGGGGTGCCTTCCTGTATGTGAACTGTGGGTACGTTGTAGATAGAGCCTCAGAAGTCCCCTGCCATTCGCTCTTTTTTTTTTTTTTTGCCATTCGCTCTTAATGCCACGTCTTAAGGGTTAGACTGGAATGAGGCAAGTCAGAGAGCATTTTGAGTAGAATTGATGGGTTTATTTCCCTCATAACTTTACTAAGAAAGAAAACAAGCAAACGAAAACCAACTTCAGGGGTGAAATCCCAGTCTCCCCTTGGATCTCAGCAATGCCATTAACTAACGTCCTGCTGCTGTCTGTGCGCTTCCGGCCACGTTGTTCACGGCCACGTCCCAGCGGCTGCTTCTGGGAGTTCTTAAAGCATGGCTGGCTGCATGTGGGCTGTTTGCATGGGAGATTTTTGGTGAGCCTTACGGTAGTGGTTGGAGGTAAAATCTTGGCAGCAAGTTTGAAAGGTTCTCTGCTGATCTGTTCTTTGCATTTCAGAAAATACATGTTTCGAGGCCATTGAATGATAAACTATGAAAATGCCTGTTTTCTCTTTTTCCATTCCATTCGCTGTTCCATGATTTGGGCTCTGTTCATGGTGTCCTTCTGCTTGGAATCATGCATCCTTCAAATGAATAGCTCTGATTTAAACACACAAACACACACACACACACACACACACACGTAAGAATCATCCCCACAGCTGGTGTAGTTTGAGCTTCTCTTGCTTTTAAGTATAATTATCCTTTTGGCAATCCAGGGGCTCTGATTTCTGAGTAATGGGTTCCTTGATCAGCATGCTATGTTTCTGAGGCCTCTTTGCTTTCTGGCATATTAATCATACAGCAGTGTTCAATGGCCTTTCCGAATGAAAACTTTCCTGATCCATGTAAACATCTTTGCTTAAAAAAAAAAAAAAAGTCGTCTGTGTATTTTACAGGAAAATGTTTTCCCTCCCCAACATCAGGAAGAAGACTTAAACTGTGTGAGAGAGAGGTGGTCTGACGCACTCATCAAACGACGAGAGTACTTAGATGAGCAGATTAAAAAAGTCAGCAATAAAAAAGGTATGTGAGATTAAACTCTTTCCCGGGAGTGGCCTTTTCGCTTCTAGACAGTCGTTGGGACAATGTGATCTTAGTGTTCTGACCTTGTAACAATTATAGACAGTAGTGACTCCTTTGGCATGGTATTGGATTGGAAAGTAATAAACGTTCACAAGCCTCTGCGTCAACGGTGATGTTAAATGTTAAACTCGCATTTAGTTCCGAAGAATGCAGATGCTGTCAGAACCCACATGTCCTTACGAGGCGCTCCGGGCTCCGGACCTGGGACTGACAGCAGCTCTCGGGTCACACGTGGCAGGTCAGCACCCAGCTCCTGTGGGGCGGCAGTGATGTGCTCAGCTGGTGCAGGTGGGCCTCCTGGCCACTCAGCTCCAGGGACACAGTTTGCTTTTGCTGGCGGCAGCCGTGTGGGCTCCAGGGTCGAGCTATGTTCTTAAAACCCTTAGTCTCTCACCCCGACTTGATGGTCCATGCATTGTGGTGGGTTCTGCATCAAAGGACACATTATGAGTGTTCATCCATTTCAGGTAGAAGTTAGCAAAAGCTCCCCCCTCAGTAGAACATCTTGGCTCAGCGTTCTTGATGTCAGTTTGTCTATGTGCTCAACCTGCTGATGGAAACTCGCTTTGACTCTACCCAGATAGCTCCAGGTTGGAATTATGAATCAGAGGGTTTCTTTTTTTTTTAAAGATTTTATTTATTTATTTGAGAGAGAGAGAATGAGAGACAGAGAGCACGAGAAGGAGGAGGGTCAGAGGGAGAAGCAGACTCCCCGCCGAGCAGGGAGCCCGATGCGGGACTCGATCCAGGGACTCCAGGATCATGACCTGAGCCGAAGGCAGTCGCTTAACCAACTGAGCCACCCAGGCGCCCTGAATCAGAGGGTTTCAAAATATGTTCTGTAAAAATCCCTTTAGTAAGGAACATAAAGGACAATAAAGTTAGTCTTACAGAGTGTGGCGTGTTTTAATCCTCTGTACACTGGTGTATAGTTTTATAAAGCAATGTCACATCCATTATGTCACTGGATCTTTCCAACAAGCGTGTAAAGTAGACATGACTTGTATGAGCCCTATTTGATGGATTAGGAAGCCCAGACTCGTCTGTCGAATAACTTCCCCAGAGTACAGAACCAGGAAACATAACCCATGTTCTCATCCCTGTCCTGATGCTCTTTTCCATGTCCCTACCCGGAGGTCCATCAAGTGAGAATCCTAGCCTCTCTGAGCTTGTCTGGGTGCTCAGGCTGGAACTTCAAAGCCTCCCATCCTTTTTTGGAACATCATGGATGTTCCAGCCACTTGGGGATGTCACCAAGTGAAAACCTATTTATTTTAAATCTGGAAATTGTCTTTTCCCCCGTCTTGGTGCTCATCCCCTCATTTTGTCCTGCAGAGAAGACGGAGGACGACGTGGAGCGGGAAGCCCGGCTTGTGGAGCAGTGGGTGGGCCTGACCGAGGAGAGAAACGCCGTGCTGGTGCCTGCCCCCGGCAGCGGGGTTCCGGGGGCGCCCGCCCACTGGTGAGTGGCCTGACAGGGTGGGGTGGACGGCCTGCACCAGTGTCGTGCGAGTGACTTTGCAGGACTGTCACTGTCCATGCTGAGTGCCGTGAGCTGCTCAGGGAGGGAGCACCCATGTCTCATGCCGCCTTCCCTTTTTCCTTCCCCATGGCAGCCAGCTTCCTCTCCCAGGAAGCCGGGGAGTGTCTTGATTACCTGGCCAGGAAGCAGATACCACACTTCTCAATTTCTCCACATGAGCAACTTGGACGTGGTTTCCTCATCTCCAGAAATTCCCTTATTTCGGCTTAAAAGAAGGGTGTATCCAGAGTCTACTTGAAGAGGGGAGAAAATACATTTTCTTCTTAGCCCTCGTGCCTGCTCAGTTTGGTCCCTAGCATAGAGTCAGGTCTTGAGCCCTAAATAACCATGGTCAGTCAGTTGGTTAATCAGTCCATCCCAGTGCTCATCAGAAACAGCATGGTATCCTAGGCTCTGGAGTCAGGTAGATCCTGATTGAGTTTCCAGCTGCAGTGTTAAATGTCGTTAACTTCTCTGAGGCTTTGTTCTTTTTTTTTTTCAAGATTTTATTTATTTATTTGAGAGAGAGAGCAAGTGCAGTGGGGAGGAGCAGAGGGAGAGGGAGAAGCAGAGCAGGGAGCCCGATGCGGGGCTCGATCCCAGGAACCCGAGATCATGACCTGAGCCGAAGGCAGACGCTCAACCGACTGAGTCACCAGGCACCCCCAAGGCTTTATTCTTAATCTATGAATGGAGCCCCGTTTTTGGTACTGTTGAAAGGATTAGAGATAATATATTAAAAACACCTTGTTGGTGCCCATATGTTAAGTGGTAACTACTCCTGCTGCTTATTCTCGTTCTCATTCTTATTACAAGAGTATGTCCTGGGCATTTAGGAGAAATCAGACTCCTTTTGAACAGAGGGTGTACATGCCCAGATAGTCTCTTTAGGGTAGGCACAGAAGCATCAGTGCTGTTATTTGCGTCTATAATGATAAAGGGAAGTATAATGGAGTTGATAGTGTTATGAAACCAGCAAATCTGAATTTTCTGGCACATAATTTGTGACCTGATGTTTCTCCCACAGTCCCGGAGTCCTGCAGGGCACACACGCCGTCTGTCTGCCAGCCACATGGTTGCAGACGGCCACCTCATTCCCAGTCTTGTTCTGCTCCCTGAGGCCCTGTCTAGACAGCCCTTCTCCTTAGCCCAGTCACTTTCGTTTGAGCCATTTCCAAACTTCAGGCCATCTTGACTGTTTGTAAAATGTGGAGTCCTGGGTCCTGTCCCTCGTTATTTTGATTTACAAGAGGAAGGATGGGCCCAGGACTTTTCATTTTCAGAGCCTCCCCCCCGGTGACTCAGATGAATATGGGCCAGTTTTTGATAAAACATTGCTTTGGTCTTTTTCATAGACAACCCTTCCTCCTTTAATAGGTCTTTCATACTCTAAGCTTTTTCAGTGTTGTCTTTTTTGTTTACTTCCTCTGGGTTCTGATCCTGTCCCCTGTCTCTACTCTTAACAGCATCCCTTCCCTTTTTCCCATCACTAGGACTATTTCTAGAAAGCCATCAAATAATCTTTGTTTCAATTAACTACATCTGATTTATATAACTGGTGGTTCTTTATGGAAGTCACATAATTCTCATGATGTGTGTTAACAGGGACATCAAGAGATGTGCAGATAGGGCCCCTGGGTGGCTTAGTCACTTAAGCATCTGCCTTCAGCTCAGGTCATGATCTCAGGGTCCTGAGATTGAGCCCTGCATTGGGCTCCCTGCTCAGTGGGGAGTCTGCTTCTCCCTCTGCCTGCTACCCCCTCCTGTTTGTGCTTGCTTTCCCTTTCTCTCAAATAAAATCTTAAAAAAAAAAAAAAAAGTGCAGATATTTCATGAATAGAATCTCTGTCCCCATAGTGGTTCTTTTCCGCTTCCGTGCCTCTGTGGTGTTTGATCATCTAACACAATGTAAAACACGTATTTGTTGTGATTAAATTTTGTTGTTAAATTTAGGGTCCCACCACCTGGAATGGAAACTCACATACCGGTTCTCTTCCTTGATCTGAACGGTAAGCAGATCCGTGTTTGAGGGGCCCTCGCGTTTCATTTAGGTTTGTAATCTTTTCAGACCCACCTGATTTTGATTCCTTAAATGACTTTTCTAATCACTCGTATGCTGTGTCTAGGTGACATTTTTAGTCCAACCAAATGTATAAACCTTGACGTGTAGCATCACTGGAAGAGCGAAGTGGATATTTAGTCTTAAAAAGAGTTACGAGAGAGGGGCGCCTGGGTGGCTCAGTTGGTTAAGTGACTGCCTTCGGCTCAGGTCATGATCCCAGGGTCCTGGGATCGAGTCCCACATCGGGCTCCTGGGTCAGCAGGGAGTCTGCTTCTTCCTCTCCCTCTGCCTCTCCCACTGCTCATGCTCTCTCTCTCTCTGTATCTCTGTGTCTCAAATGAATAAATAAAATCTTAAAAAAAAAAAGTTACGAGAGATAACTCTCTCTCAGAGTTATGAGAGAGATGTCGTAACTCAAAAATGTCAAAACAGTTACAGTTGAGAGACATCAATGGACACAAGAATTACCTGAGAAAGTAATCACCGTCAGAGATTCTGAGCCTTTAGGCTTGCGGGGCCCTAGGAATCTGCATTTCTGATTAGAGCCATTCCCCCTGCCCCCCTCCACCATAGCGCCAATGCCAGAATGTGATTACACTGTAAACCCTGCATTAAGGGTTGTTCTTTACTGTAGCGATTGGATTGAACCTGCGTGAACCAAGAATGATGGTCCTCAGTGTATTTTAGCAGGAAAATCCACTTTCAGAATGAAATCTTAAATGGAAGCCTGTATGTAGACTACAAAGGCAGAGTTGCCAAGTGGGGTGATGGGCGGGCTCAGGCAAGCTCTTCCACACACAGCCCCTGGAATCTCAAAACACAGCCTGGAAACCTGTCTTTTGGAGGGAGGGCCCTGGGGAGGGTGACTTTGGCTCTTCCTAGGAAGAATTGTTTAAGATCCTGGAAGTAGGACGTGTGCCTCATGAAGCGATGGGCTCCCTGTTATTGGAGGGATACGCATAATGGTTGGATGACCACGTATAGAAATTTATGAAGGGTGAATCCCACATGGCTTAGGGCATTGGAAGAAGATGATCTTTGTATTTCGCCCAAGTGCTTGGAACTTGATTCCAGATTGATTATTTAGCTGTTCAAATCTCTAATCATGTGTAAGTTGTATAAGTAGGACGCAAGCGTGACACCAGGTTACACGGAGATTTGACCTCAGAAAGCAGGAGTCTCAGCTGTGTTTTTGTAGAGAAAATCTCTGCTCCTAGGATTGCGTATGGAATATATTTGTCCCTTTTATTAGAGACTCATGGGGTACCTTTTTGGCTCTCATAGTTGTTTCTGGAAAGGATAAGACCTATTGTGAGGAATTAGCATCTCTATTTCCACTGTGGGATAAGGAAGGAAAGAAAAAAATGAAAGTGCAAAAAGTCATCTGTGGAAAGCATATTTAAAAATTTTCAGTGCTGGGG